ATCAAAGAGAGGTAAACTTCGTTTCCTCCGCCTCGAACAATCCCCCCTTGAGTGGCGGCTGCGTGGATAAAAGCATCTTGCACTCGCTGGAAATCCGCGTTAATATACCAAATCCGAGTTGAAGGGGATAAAAAAAACATCTGAAGAAAAATTGCACGTCCATGTAACGAATCCTTGAACAGAGATTCTTACTACAAAATTGCAGGATTAGAAGGAAATGTCGCGAAGCAAATATATCAAAAAATTACACGTCACTCTTGGACAATGATAACAAAATTTAGATCAAGGGTCGCGAGGACGAGAATCGAAGCAAGATTAAGCTTTCGAAGGAAAGTCTCCGGTAATCGGCTTAACTGATTAAACAGCCCCGATAAACCGTCCACCCCTCTCCGACAATAATTCCCCTCCCCGCATGAAGCCTCACGTCGTTCGCGTTTCCGCAATTTTAATTCCCACAATTTCCCACTCGCGGTACACGAGTTCCCTCCCCGGGAAGATTACGCCAATTCGTTTGCCCTTATCCAATGCTGTCGCAATCCCAGGGCAGAGCTTTTCGCGGAAGAATAATAACCCCGGGGGGCGCAATCTCCCGACTTTTCGGGATTAATCTCGGCGCTATCAATGCCGAGGAGGCGATGCCAACCGAAATCCCACGTCCGACCCGTTGGGTATCGCAATGAGTAACGACTAATTCTCGAAATTCCTCAAAACGAGACATAACTTTCCGCCGATAAGGCTGATTTATCGCAACCGCGGAGTCCAGCGTATCTGCGGTAGCGATAGCCATAGCAGAGGGGTAGCTTCGAGATAAAGGTACCTCTTCCCTCCCTTCTGACGTCATTTCCTCCGATCGACATCTTCCCGGTCAGAAGTGAGATCCGGAAAGGCGAGTTTCCCGCGGATCCAGAAAGGCAGGGCGTGCCTCGGTCGCGTGCAGGATGCACTAGGAGGTGCATTGCACGCGACCGGGCGCTCCCGAGCGGTCAACCCTTTCACGAGCTGCGGGGGGGCGAGAGGCGTAAACGCAAGGTGCGCGTGCTTTTTGCTCGTTAACCGCGGCTAAAAGTCCCTCCCAGCGATCCGGGGATTCCTGCGGGAACGAGGAAGTTCCGTGGAACAGGTCGTGAACTCGGCATCGACGCTAATGGTCCAGGGAAGAAATTCATCCGGAACGATTTTCTCCCCCCTGTTACCTCCGACCTCGTCCCTGATAATACAAGATGATAAAGGACGATATGAGATGATATAAGATAATTAATAATATATAACCCGAGATCACGGTGGATAATGGTCCAGGGAAGAAATTCATCCGGAACGATCCTCTGGTCCCTGATAATATATGATATGGGACGATATAAGATGATATACGATAATATTATATAACGAGATAACGGTGGGTAATGGTAATCGTAAGGTTGGTCATATTGATAAATTAAAAATGAGGAAGTATGATACGTATCGTGCGATTTTTTTTTTTTTTCTCCCCTTTGGACACCTCATTTTATACAAGAGGTTTCCACTCACTTTGGACGCACTTTAAAGATGAAGACCCCCGAATGCACCCCTAGAATGGCCAATTAGTGGGCGCGGATGTCGCTTAATGTCGGCGCAAAACTTCGCTTTGAGAATGCCTCGGCAAAGGAAGTGCATTATACCGCGGGTAAGGATTCTAAGCCACCGAGACTAATGATGGAGTATCGCAGGCCCTTTGAACTCGTCGAGATGACAAGGACTTCAACGACGTTAATTCCGGTGGTATCCCGTAACACGGTCCTGAAAGCGTGTATTCTGTCAACGGGGTATGTGTACATACGTGTCAAATTCGGGAGACGAGAGGACCCCCTAACCTGAGTCTTTAAACAAAAAAAAAAAATTCGTTAATAAGTTTTCATAGAATGACAGCTGACATCAAGAAAAATCGAATAAGAGTGCATCTGCAATTACCCTTAGCCCAGGATATTTGAAAGAATCTCGTGGACAGTCGTGAGTGAATTTTTAATTAAATTTGACATTGAAGACTTGATATTGAATTGAATTCTTATTATTAAAGTCGACGGAAGAGGGTCCCTTTTAAACGAGGTGAGGTAAACCAGGGAAACTCACAAGGTAAAAAATTCATTCACGAGGCATCCTCGCAATGAGGGGGTTGCAAGTGCACCGGCACGGGTACAGTCAATTAGCATTGATGTTATTCATTAATAAATATGCACTAGCATTATCCTTGGCTCCGAAAATTTCGAAGAGATTCATGGACAACCACGACGGAATTTCAGATGAATTTCGCCAAAATTGGCGAAAAAAAAATTAAATCGACAGAAGATCCTTTCTAAACGAGGAGCTCACGAGGTGAAAAATTCATCCACGAGACATCCTCGCGGCTAGGAGGTCGCAAGTGCCTCGGCACGGGTACAGTCAATTAGCATTGACGTTATTCAGGGTAGGACCCCTCATCGGGGAATCATCCGGCGGTGGTTAACGAACGAGGAGCGGCCCGAGAGGGATTGCAGCAAGAATCGAGATCACGGTCGGCATCACCGTGGTGTGTGCACGGGACGTTATCCGATGGCTTTTGATCTCGATCTAAATTGCCCGAACTCCCCGCGAGTCGGATCCCCTTTCCTCATCGTAGCCGATGCGTTTCTATCCCCGCGACGGAAATCCAGAAGACGACGATATAACATTCCGCGGAAACGGTCACGACGCCAACCTGTTATCTCTTTTCCGCGGATTTTCCATATCACGATCGACCGACAAGTGCAACCGCACTTCCTCGTTATCGGCAGCGACATTCTTCCCGTCGATAACCGCCGATAAGCATGCCAATCGATCTCTCCCTGAAACGGAACAATACTAATTGAACTTATCGATTGAATCTTCGCCCCACCTCGCGAACCACGATTGGATTTTTCCAAAGCCGTCAATATTTCCATCTCCTTCGTGAAATTGTACCTTATCACCATTGCCAGTAATTTCAGACCGTCACGTCGAGTACCATTAGAAAATGATCGAATCTGGAATTAAAAACGACATTTTGGGGGGGTCTAATATCCGAAAAGAAGGACTTTTATCGAGGCGTCGATTCCGTACCGATCACTGACGGCGCACTGACACTGACACGGACGGACGGATAAGGTCACTGATACGGAAATGCGTGAATACCTCGATGTAAACCTAAGGAATACGTTTTTTCTGTCAGGGTATGGACGCACATGGCACATATACGTCACGGATATGTTCGAACGGGTCAAAAGGCCGACTTGGAGTGACTTTACATGTCACGGCTAACAAAGCCCACTTAAGGAAGTCCGGCCTTCCTGCACTATTCGACTGAGACTCCACTCGAGCTTCCGCCTTCGGATAGCGTGCTATACTTACGTAGGTATATACCTCGAATCTCGAGTACTTTCCTCTGGCAATCGGTCTATCCCTCGACCACGATAAAAGCCAGTACCCTCCGTCTTTTTCCCCCCTCTCAAGATCTTTAAGGACGAGTCCCTTTTAATTTTACTTAATCGCGGAAGGGATCGCCAGGGAAAAGGGACGGCAAAGGAATAGAGCATCGCTCCTTTCAGAACGGTCCCTTCCGCCCCCTGAAGAAGACGGCCCTCGGATTTATTCCGGGATAATGGATTATCCGAGTCGGTCCCTCTGGACCGATTTTTTCGTTTCACCAATCGAGTCCATTTTACTCCTCCGACCCATGCAGTAGCATGTCCAACCCATCTCATCCCCATAAACATAAATAATTACAATCGGGCGGTCGAAATTCTGGCACTTCGTTGAAGTTTCAAGGATAATGGATTTTTCCCGTCAATTTCTCCCGTCGATTTTTTTGTCTCACCAGTCGAGTTTATCATACTCCCCCGACCCATGCAGAACCATGTCCAACTCATCCCGTCCCCATAATCATAAATAATTACAATCAGCCGGTCGGAATTTCGTACTTCGACGAAATTTCGTACTTCGACGAAATTTCATCCCACAGCCGGAGAATATTCCACTGCGCAAATTGAGGGCGAATCCGAGCGATTATAACCTCGGAACAATGAAGTCATTCGTTTGAATGACGAAAATTTTTCCGGGCTATCGGGTACGCCGATTCATCTGGGATTTAATTCCACAGGTGAATTAACTCCATTTAATTGGGCGAGTGAAATATTTGTTTTCGTCGTCTTCGTTGCGACACGGGCGTGCAAATTCCCCTCACATCTTTACGATTAATGGCTGCGGTTGGTGCATGTCAGAGTGCACATAAAATAAGCCTTAGATGGGAGGCAAAATCGCGAGGAATCCAGCTCAGACTTTTCCGATAGTTCCGGCGAAAGAGACAACGGCGTCGAATGTTTGGTGTGTGGATCTGTATTTTCCGCCGACGTGTACAGAGAACAATGGGTGCAATGTACCGTCCAGTACCACTGGTAAGCTCCATAAGCCGTGTAACGCTACCGGGCAAAGGTTTATCCGTTGATATCGTGTCAAAAAGCGGAAGGTACGGCGAACCTGACAATAAAACTTCGCCCCATTATCCCAGAGATTTGCATATCATTACGAGCCATGATAACGCGCGCCTCCCCCCCTACGATCCGCCGCCTATGTACAATAATATCACTAATAATTAATATCACTTTCCCCACATTTCTCCCGCATCGGAAATATAAACCAAGCAATATCGGCATGGATTTTGCTCGATCGTTCTTTAATCACGTTCCACTTACCGCGAGTATCGCCAAGGACTGCCTCCGTCCTTTTATCAGCTGATTCGACCGCCTCTTTTTATTTTCCTTGCCCAACCACATTAGCCAAGAGTCCCACTTGTATTATAATCTCATATCGTTAAAAAATGATAAATTCGATACTTATTAAAATACATCTCCCTCAAAGCCCCAGTCTAGTGGTAAACCCCGGATGCGGCATATGATAATAACGTAAAATGAAAAATACGAACAGGTACGAATGAAAATCGACGGCAATAAATGTGAAAAAAAAAAAGAATCCCTCACCAGCTTTACAGACATCGAGATCGAGGTCCCCGGTAATGGCGTGTGGAAACGTGCTGGTGAGCAGTTCCTCGACGGTGAACCTGTGCCGGTGTTTCCTGGGGCTCGGCGAGGGTCCATCCCCGATGACTCGAGCCTGGCCAAAGCCCGACCCGAGGCAGATCAGCGCGACGATCGAGAGCAGCCTCATCTCGGCGCAGGTATGGGCCAATCGGACCGGATCTCGCCCTGACTCATAACCTCTTCCACCGAGTGGAGCAAAGTTCATTCGATCGGTCGCGGCGGGAAATCTTCCCTCGGAATCCCTCGCGAAATCCGCGCGGCCCTCGCGAGTCGGCCTTGGCCAATCACGAGTCCGCAGGAGCGCGGGCTAACGCGACCGGCCCTGGGGGGGTCCCTGTCGCGGCGAGAGTTCCACTTTCCTCGGGCCTGATATATCTCCGCCGCGCGATAATTCTATCGATTCGAGGCAGGCCCGTGCGTGGAATCGCTGCCTTGCACCCACGGCGCGCACTTAATCCTAATTACCGCTAATGAGTACAATTAGCGAGCCGAGAGTCCGTCGGTCACTCGGCGGCGGTCGCGCTCTGATTTCCTCGGGTGCTCGCGGCGCCCTCTGGGGGACCGCCGAGAGGGAGGCCCGGGACAGAGCGCGCGCGCGGCCGGAGGAGTCGCGCCCGCGCCGGGCAAAGTTCGGCCGGCGAGTGCGGCCTCGCTGGCGGGGCCCTTCGCTCGAGGTTCGAAAGCGCGCGCTGCGCCGAAGGGGTGGCGCACGGTCGAGCGTCGCGCAGCGAGGACCGGATACGCGCCAGCTCCGCGCGGCACGAGGGTGCCCGAGACACTGCCGAGACCAGCCGGCGCGCCGAGCGAGTGCCGCAAGCTGCGCCCCGGCGTCCGCGGTCCGATGCTCCGCGATCGGCCGCCGATATGCGAGCCGAGGCTCAGGCGGACTTTTGAGTCGGCCCGTGGACGCTGCTGCGGACGTTGCGGATGCCTCCCGTTGACGTCTCCGCAACGGCTTATATACCGAACGAATTGTATCCTTTCTTTTAAAGGATAAAATTCTGGGGCCGTTTTCTTCAAGAATCAAACTCTAGGACAGCTTTTTTTAATTAAAGATCAAATTATAAAACCGTTTTCCGGAGATCCTGTGGCGCGGTTTTCTGTCTCAGACTGAGAAAACAAATCAGCTGACCGAAATAAATATATACCGCCCACGTTTTGACTTGCATATCGTTGCTTGAATCGTATATAATCGCAGGAGATAATTATTTCACATACTTCTTTGAGTAGAGTTGGTAAGCGATACTGTCAGAATTGGACAATTATATTGAATGTTAAGGATATATTGAATTTTCGGCCGTTCATTGAGTAGTTCTTAGAGTTATGGGTCATTTTATGTATATACGAGATGGGGGAGATTTTAAATATCGCATGCTCGACGTATGCGATTTCGGTCCGATTAAGGCTCGTCTAATGATGACATTTGCCCTCTTAACAAAGGACAGTACAAGTTCTCGGGTAAACATCTGCTTTTAAAATCCTGGACAATATCAAGGATTACTGTCCGAAAGCAGCTGTAGCAAGTTCTAATTGCCAGTTGATTCTTCGCTAGTGAACGCGACTTAATCGTGGACGTTAAATATACATTGGTGATAACGGATCTCCGTAATTACTTTTCAGGGCAAATGTTCCGCGATGATGCTCGCGCGGGATTTCTTTACCGACTTCGATATTACTATCGTATGCCCGATATCTTCGACTGTCCGATGGGAGTGTTGCCTCGTATTGTGCGAAATGGGCGCCACAAAGTGCCGTTGTACGCTTTTTAGAAATGGATACGGTGTCCGATAACAAGAAGAAGGGCCTCTTTGCGTTCGCTCAATGAGACGGCTCGAAACGTGAATAGGTCGGTTTATGATGGAAGGGTCTCGCGTGGGACTGAATACCGAGTATCAATGAACTTCAATAATTTCTTAGGATGAATGTTATCGGACCGCGGTGCATTTCTAACGTTTCTCGAAGGGACTGCTATCGGTATATTGCCCCGGCGTGAGCCAAATGCCGTTCTCGTTATATCAAAGCCACGTAAGATTTGTTAGCGCTGGAAGTAACACAGACCATTAACCAGATTTAAAGGTCCATTACCTGGATGTCTAAACCGCGGAATGATTTACGAGAGATAAGTTAATGCAAACTCACTGCTGGAGCGACGTGAATTTTTTGCATAGTCGGGGCTTTGTAATGAATTATTCTTTTCCTCGACGTCCGGCAAATTGGCCGGGAGAGGGTAGAATTTTAAACTAAAGCCTGCCTCGCCCTTTATCGAGTACAACTAACGTTTAAAAACCCTTAAAAATATCTATAAATAAATATCGCTCAAAGTGTAAATATCACTCTGCAGGGTCTCTACCTCGAAGTCTGCGTTTCACGTGTCCCTTACACATTCAGTCGAGGCAAAGTCCCTTGCATAACGCGAATATCACGGTTCGACGCAAAATAATTAACAGGGCTGAAGTCGCCCTATTAGGAGGGAGTTTTCGCGCGATCGAGGGATTTCCTTCGGAGTTGTACCGAGGCAGGGGCGAGTCCTCGTGTGAGCGACATTAATTAAAATCACGGCTTTTCCAGGGGTTGCCGTAACGTGGCACCCATTACAGGGTCCAAAGATTCGAGTTCGGAGAGGGTCTAACGTTGGTGCAAGACCGAGCGAGGATTCCGGTGTTTCCAAGTTCCCATGATTCCATTTTTAAGTGCGCATCGTCCTTAACTGCAGCTCGAGTGTCCTTGTTTCTTGAAGCAACGCCTGAAAGAATGAAAAAATGTACCGAAATAAATATCCGTCTGAAAGCTCTTTTAGAGTGCGATTCACCGTACGCGAGCTGGCACGTGCAAATTAGGAGTAATTGGATCGTCCATACTGTACCGTTGGCGTAGAATAATTGTCGCAGAGAGTACACCCCATACATCAGGCGGACATTGATTAAAATTTCCCAGTTACGCGTTTCACGGGGTGAAACTTCCACGGGGCGACGACGTGAAACGCACCCTTTCGACGAGCAGTCGCTTGTTCACATCCAACACCAACTCGAGGCCATTGCTAATGCGTACAAATTGTGCCTGCGTTCTCAGTGAGAGCGACCGAAGGCAGAGTCCTTCGTGGCGGGAGAGGAAAAACTCGAACTCGTTAAGCGAGCTGCGTACGAGCAATTAATCAGCGTTAACAACCATTCAGCGCCGCCACTCTCCTGCAGAACCGAATAATGAAGCTGATTAGCCCAGTGCTAAACCCCTTTATGGAATTGACTCTCCCTCGACCATATCCTTGAGAGCTGATAATAGTTTTTACTTCGACTCACCCTTGCAAACCATTCGAGCGAGTCAATCGCGTCCGAAAGGTGCTGACTAATTTCTATGGGGTTGCGGGGGAATTTTCATTGAAAATAAACCTTGAAATGGAGCAGTTTCGCCTTTTTCCCTCGGTCACGTAAAGCAGCTGCAGACGATGTTCCTAAACAAGAAAGTGGAGACGCCATTGGCACGTTACAAATTTTTCCTTAATTTAGAATTTCCTACTTTATCCGTTACAACCTATCCGCCTTTCATTGAAGCTTACATCTTGATCTTAAGAGCAAATTTCCATGAAAACTGTGGGCTTGAAAGGTTTAAGTTAATTATTACCTCGCCTTCTATTAATTGCCGTTCTCGGCTTACGTGTTAACATGCAGAAACATGGCATTTTTTGTAACCGCAACGCTTTTTTCAACATACCAGATCATTCCAGTTTGCCGTGGATGGACTCGATACGTGATTGGAAAGTAAACCTTATTCGTAATCGAATCGAAGCGTCTCATTTCCCAGTATTCTTGTCACGCCGATTTTTCTATACACGAGTAAACAGATTCGATACACTGAAAATAGAAACGGTTTCGTATCGCGCATCGGTCAGGCCATACTAGGAAAATGATTACGAATGATGTGGACGTTCGAAATGCCGATCGGCGGTTGAGATGATCTTCGGTGAACTCGGATCATGGGGCTGCAAATCGGTTTTTCAATTTTTGCAAATTACTTGAATTAGGAGTCTTACTTATCGAAGGTTTTGAAACTCGGATATATTGTGGGTTTCGCGAATAAGGGGCATTAGAAGCTTCTTTGTAATTCTGGGCGCGATTCAGGGTCAAGTTTAAAAGTTGGCGGTCAGCGCCATCTCGCGGTGAATGGTGGAACTTGGAAGTGAATCATCGGCGTGGATAAAGCAGTACAGGGTCGTCTCAATTTAGATCTCTTCTCCCGTTTCATTTCCCGGGTTGCGAGGTACCGAAAGTGCTTTTTACGGGAACATGTCCGGGAATTTGGGCTTATGCGAGACTCCTGGTTGCGGCTCGTTTGCCAGTTTACAATGTCCTACCTGCCTGAAAATCGGTATTCAGGGATCCTATTTCTGCAGTCAAGTGAGTTTGCACTTTTGAGGTTAGGACGGTGCCTCGCCTTCCGAGGTCCGTTAGCACGGAAATCCATTAAAACCGTGACTTTACTCGGCACTAGTCAATTATCATTCGCTCAAGGAATTCGGAAAATTCATAATGGACGAATTATTTCCATTAATCATCCAGGAAATGCAGTAATCATGCTTGTTTGCGAAACTTCATTTTACTGTACTTTGCGAGTCACGCTTCTTCCGTCCCCGTCATTCTGCAACTTTCTTTTCGGAAATGTTTGTTTAAGTTTCATAGAGAATTCTTTATTTCAATTTCTTTATTAGGTCTTGACAGGTGATATTTAATTAGAAACATTTTCTCCTTCGCTTTCACCCTGAAGCTTTCCAGACACTGCACACATGCTCTCGCCGAAGACTTTGAACGAATTCCTTGCTTCCATTCACCAATGGGGTCACATCATTTTTCGCGTGTTTTTTAACTTTAATCCTTGAGCACAGCTGCAAATAGTCTTTGTCAGATAGCAAACTGCATCTGTCACGGAGAGAGCTGGTCACCGTTTTACTTGATAATTGCTAGTTTTTCATCGGGTGGTAAACAAGCAGTCGTTTAATCTACTTCGAGAGAACATTGCCAAAGTTCCAAGCGATAACCTTTCGGGTGATAACGATTTTCCTGTAACCTCGCAAATTGCCAATGATTAATATTGCCAATTTAATCTTGCTTTCAGGAATGCTTTAAAGGGAGTTGGAAGACGCATAAAGTACTTCATCAACTTGCGAGTAAGTAATTGATTCAAGATATATAGGATTAAAATGCTAAATAATTCTTTTCCACTTTAGAGGGCGAGAATGGAAATAAATCTTCGGATGAATACAATCCCTGGTCGTCGTACAACTACACCGGTAAATTACGTCCTTTTAGGAAACACCCTACCCGAGAGGTGCCAGCATCCATTGCCCGTCCAGATTATGCCTTGCACTCATTGGGAATACCTCTCAGCGAACAAGCCGTCAGAGGATCTGCTCAGATCAAAGTATTGGACGATGAAGAAATTGAAGGAATGCGAGTCGCGTGCAAAGTATGAGCACCCTCCGCTACCTATTTATTTCCACAATTTTCCGCTCCAATTTCTAACACGAATAATTCATTTAGCTGGGAAGAGAAGTCCTGGATGAAGCAGCACGTGCATGTGACGTTGGCGTCACAACTGCCGAGTTAGACAGAGTTGTTCACGAAGCATGTATCGAAAGAGACTGTTATCCATCGCCATTGAATTACTACCAGTTCCCTGCCAGCTGTTGCACATCCGTCAACGAAGTGATCTGTCATGGGATACCGGATACCAGACCATTACAGGACGGTGACATTTGCAACGGTATTATACAATATTCAATTCTTGCGATATATAATCAGAAAAAAAATGTAATACTCATTATATTTTCCTGCAACATCCTTGTTCGCTCTAGTTGACGTTACGGTGTACCACAACGGCTTTCATGGGGATCTGAACGAGACCTTTTTAGTGGGAAATGTGAAGCCTGAAATAAAGAAGTTAGTCGAAGTGACATACGAATGCTTATCCAAAGCCATTGACATAGTACGTCCAGGTGAAAAGTATCGAGAAATCGGTAACATCATTCAGAAGCATGCTCAGGCCCATGGATTCAGCGTCGTGCGTAGTTATTGCGGCCACGGAATACATCGTCTCTTCCACACTGCTCCGAATGTGCCGCATTATGCCAGTAAGTGTCCTTGGATTAATTAATATCTGTCAATGACAAAGTGGAGCCTCAACAATCAATCACCTCATTCAACAGAGAACAAAGCAGTGGGTGTGATGAAACCAGGACACTGCTTCACCATCGAGCCTATGATATCGCAGGGTACTTGGAAAGACGAGATGTGGCCCGATAATTGGACCGCGGTCACTGCCGATGGCCAGTGGTCGGCACAATTCGAGCAGACCCTCTTAGTCACGGAAACGGGGTGCGACATTCTTACCAAGCGACTCACAAATGACGGGAAGCCATGGTTTATGGATAAATTGTAGTATCATCCGAGTCAACCGTTTGGCTTCCGTCGAGAATGAACAAGAATCGAGCATACCAGGAGCTCCGAGTGATATTTTCTGCAAAACATTCGTACTCTGCATACACGCGTCTCCCCCTTGATGACGTACTTCTCGATGGGTGCACGTCTTAGAACCGGCTATGCAATTCTAAGATTCATTTTAAGCTTTTTCTAAATTTTTAACTGGGCGATCGAGCACTAAAGCCTGAAAGGACGTATACCTTACACATTTTTTATCGTATCAAGTCCTTCCGCCTACCAGTTTCTAGTGTCCTACAGAGCGAATTTTTTAAATCATTATGCATTTTTCTCCAAGCTTTAGTGCCACATCCCGGCGAGTCTAACGTTTATGTAGTAGAATTGGCCTTTTAACGATTATTCAAACTATTGCGAGTGTAAACAAAAAATACATATGTTTAGCAGGATCGATCGATCGCATTAAAAGTATGTATTCGAAAAAAAACGCCAGGGCCTTTGTCCACCAATCGTTTGTATATACTTATTCGCAATTCGCAGGAACGATGGGTAGAATTGCGAGATCAAACAATTGTGAGGCTTCAGTTCGGTTGCGTATGTACATATATGACGAGCATTCGTCGACTTGACGCGGGGCAATAAATAAATAAATTAAAAACGTAACAATGAGATACGGACGCTCTATCACCGAGTCTATCTCTAGAGAGAAATAAATATGCGAGCGAGTAGATCGCGAATAAATAATATTGAGATACATAAGAGGAATTAAGACCCTCGGTAGCGGGAACGCGATGACTGTAATTTAATTGCGAATTTAATTGGACGATTTAGCTGTAATTTACCTATTATTTCGAAATACCCGTTATTAGGCTCTAAGTGATTACTCGCTACGTCTATTTTCTAATGGCACTTTACAACCGGTTTAGTAAATAATAGGGAAATCACGCCTTCAATTACAGTCGCAATTAAATTCCAATTTCCGCATTTCCGGTCTATCTAAAAATCGTGCCTAGCCACGTCTCGATGCGGCCCTTTCCGAAAGGAATGTTAATCGAGGATCAATAAATATGTAGAGGGACCAAGCTCTACCGTATGTACAAATACTTTGTTTCTGGAACAACGTCACTATCCAGTTTTTGTATTGAGACGCGTACCAAATTCCGCGCTCGCGCTCTGCTGATAAGTCCGCCGGTCATCTGCCTGAGAATTTGTCTGGTCCATATTCTCTGGATCCTCCTCTTCGTATTCGTATTCCTCGTTCTCATTTCCTCTAGAAGGCTGTCCTTCCGCGTTATCAGCGTATTCCTCGATATCAGGGACCATGATTCTAAGTGGCCTCTTCTCTCCATTCTGAGGAGGCTGCTCTTGTTCGGGGCGTTGCTGTTGCTGTTGCTGCTGGGCGTACTGACTCTGGTATCTCTCATTCTCCTGTTATCACAAGACCAACAAAAATGCGATTAAAAATTAACATTCAATTCTACCATCCAGGTCAATCAGGAATCCGAATCAAGCCGCCATGGACGCTTACTTGCTCTTGGTTCATCTGATGTTGGAACTGCTTTTGCTGTTGTTGCTGAACATAATGCTGGCGATGATCATAGGAGTCCTTCTCCTGTTCCAAAGGCTGCTCGTTAACGCTGTACCCCTCGTCCTTGTGATTAAATGGCATCGACTCCTCGCTCTGCTGGTTCTGTTGCTTCCTCAGCTGCCCTATCAGCTGGCTGTTCACGTTTCCAGCTGCAGCCAGGGCTGCCAATTTCTCAGCCGCCTCTCTGTTGGGCAAGGTCGTGTAAAATTGCGGGGCCACGCCATCCTTCCCGATATTTCCGAAATACGCGGACTGTCCGCCCTGACCGGAGGCTTCATCGTACTCGATGTTGTTCTCCAGCTGATCGGCACTATCGGGGAAGACGACTTCGTTCTGGCGAACCACGTTGGAACGGACCTCGTCCGTCGGTTCTGGTTCCAGATTGTAATCTGCCGTGACTTTGCCTGATGCGTAATTCTGTCCTAGGAGAACCTGCTGTTGCTGCTGCTGGAGCTGCTGTTGCTGCAGACGCTGCTCCTTGTTCGCCTGCTCGTCGTAGTTGAACGAGTGCATCTGCGGCTGGGAGAAACTCGTCACACCTCCTGGCTGCTGCTGGAAGAACTGGCCGAGTTGTTGCTGAAGGAGGTGCTGCTGCAATTGGGGTTGCTGCCCGGCCGTGTACTGCTCTGTCAACTGCTGAGGGAAGCTGTTCAGCAGGTCGTACAGCTGGGTTGCTGACAGAGGAGGACCTGCTGATGCTGGGTGCCCCACGTGTAGGTCGGGAATCTGGTGGCCAATTGATAAGGGCACTTGGCCAGCTCCCGTCCCAGGGAAACCCACGTGGAGGGAACTGTGGAGATTCGTCTGCATCGGCATGTTCTGCTGACCAAACTGCATGTTGCTCCCGATCAGTCCGGTGGGTGGCATCGGAGGGTGGCTCATGTACAACTCGTTCGTCTGCAAATCTGGATTCACTATCGTCGAGAGCTGGCTCATGTGGAATTCAGGGGTGAAGAACGTCGGCTGCACCGTGCGGTAGTCCTTGGGACCGATTTCGTTGGTCTCCGTTACTTCGTAATGGGTTTGGGTCGGAGTGGGACTGGTCACGGTTCTCTGCGGGGAAACGCTGGTCCCTGCGGTGCCGAAGGCGAAATTCGTGGCCAGGGTGCCTGGTAGATATGGGGATGATAGTTTGAAAATATATTGTTTATGTAAAATCACTGGTAGGGTGGCTTGATGGCTTTGGGTCTTCTTACCTGGGGCGTTGGAGTTGTAGTCTAGGGTCCTTTGAGGAATCTGTTCCCCAGGACTCTCGTTCCCGCTCGATTCGACCAGGTTGTACGGCTTATCAGCGGGACTGAGATTCGGAGCTGGTATCGTGTGGATGGGGCCTCTGTCTTCGTCCATTTCGCCTCTATGAGTCGGTGGTAGCACCGCGGTTTCTGGCCTATATTCCGGACTGTACTCGGGAACGTTGCTCATTGAGTGGAATTCTTTTACTGGAGGACGTTTTGGGAGAACCGCCCGATTGTTCATCGGCGGATGGACGGCTTGGGTCTTCCAGGACGTCGGCAGGACGTTGAAAACCGGAGGACGACGCACCCTGAATTGCAATGGCCCTCGAGAAATTATTCCATACCTTGGAAGGCATTTTATCATTTTCTTTCGATCTAATATGGACTGGAATCCTTTACCGGTAGTTCGGCGGCTTGTGGGCCATTCTTTTGGGCGGGAATGAATTTATGTGCATGGTGTTGCCCATTGATACCCTGTGGGAAATCGGCCATGATTTCTTGAACATCGCTGGCGGTGGAGGTGGTCTTCTGAGCTTGTACCTGGCCTCCGTTCCTGGGAGCGCCGACAGACACACGCATCCTGCAAGTAGCCATCCTATCCAACTGGTCGTCTGGAAAAAAAAAATAACCCCATGCAAATTAGTACAATCCCGTCGTATACATTTTTCAGGGGAATGCCGAGGAAAACTTCGGAGAGGTGCCCGAGAAATCCGAGGAAAGCTGCGACCAGCTGGACTGCTGCCAGGTTCTCGTCATTGAAGGTCAGTAGGTCTCCTCGTGATCCTCTCTTTTTCTCGCGATTTCTGGTACCGGACCTGCCGTATCGTTACTTCATTCGCACTTAGCCTGTCTTTAGTAGCGATAAGTGCACCATCGACCTCCATATCCCCGCGGAAAAAAATTATCTCAGTAAGGCAATATTTATCTACTTTTCAGGTAGGACCTGTTTACCTCCACTCATTACACAACAATGCATCACCTGGGCTTTCTACACCAGACCATTCCTTTACATCCAGACTCTTAAACTGAACGTTTGTTGCACTTTGCCAAGGATCGAGTTTACGCAAGGCAAAACACGAAGACATGTACGCTCTTGAAGATGATGAAGGTACTTTTGAGGCGTTTGAAGGCGAACTTCTGTGCATCCTGACGAGGCTCATCCTTGCTGAACTTCGTCGCGGGAGAGTTTCCGAAGCTATTTAAGCCGTTCCACGAAGATGGCTCGAATTGGTTTGTCATTCCGCTCACGTATGAATCTTTTTTAGTGCGTGTTCACCGCCGAGCGGAAGTTCGGGCTTACGGTACCGCATGTCACCGTGCCTGCGTTTCGTTCTCCAGTCGCGCAGCTCGTCGATATGTACACGTGGACCTGTATCGAGCTGATAGTCCCATGAAAGAGAACACGTCCTCACGAGGAGGCTGCTACACCTTGCCGAGTTAAGTGGAACGATGTGCCACATCCTGCCGGGAAAAGCGACGACGAGCAGCCGGCAGGTCTGCGGAGGAAAGAGTAGACCAGAAGAGAGCCTCGCCATGTCGGAGAGGCAGACAAATCGTGGAAATTGCGAGGCGATCGAGCGAATTAGAAATCCCGACCGCGTCTTATGCCAAGACGCACCCTGAAGAGCTGGAAGAAGTCGATCCGACCTGTTCGAGATACTGCTGCATCCTCTGAACGTGATCCATTGATTCTTTTTTCCAGGGCAGAAATGAATGGGTCTTCGGTTCCTCGTGCGTGGAAAATTTCAAACCCCACGTGGAAATGTTTCTTCGTCAAGTTCAGGATTCAAATTGAAGTCTTGAGTATAGCAATGGACATAACTGAGACTGTCTAACGTATTGCGACATTTAGGTAGACATTTTTAATTTCTTAACGAAAGATTGTCAGCGCATCGAGGGTACTTATCAGGCTTATGCGATAAGGCTCCTCGTGAATGGGAGACTTCATACTCCACGTGGGGCCCCGAGACATTTTGACATTTTCAAGAGGCAAATTGAAAAGTCAAGGGTATCAGTCGAGATAACTGAGACTGTTGAATATATCGCGGCGAGAGGGTATTTTAGGAATGTCTCTAGTTTTATTTTGTTAAGAAGAAATTACTGGCGCTTTGAGGTACTAGTCAGACTTACGCGGTAAGATGATCTCTCGGTGCTGCCGTTCCAGAGAACGTAAACCTGAATTTGTCGATGGAGTTATCCGAGGAAGCTCCACATTGCTCGGTAATTGCGGGACGAGGAAAGGAATTGGAAACTCGAGGTCAGGAAGAGCTGGAAAATGAGAATCAACTTGCTCTTGACCTACTGCAACTCGAGGAGTGATTCAATGTTTATGTCATTTTTACCGGAGTTAATGTCGAACCGTACATGCATCGGGTGCATTCTGGATACGGAGAAAACGCATTCCTCGCGTTTCTTGAACGACTGGTTAAACATACGAGTTTTGAGCTTCTTTATTCTTAGTTTCCACCCGCGATAAAATACAGCTCTTCGATTAGTTACGTGTTTCGCGTCTGAGCTGTGCGCGGCATTGAGCGATACTTTTTGCGACCGAGAAAGCTGATGGGGACGTCCTTAATTGACAACCAGGATCCGGCATAAATACTTTCAGTGCCTATTTAATTATGAAGCGCCCTCGATTCGGTTTGACGTTGCGGTACCGTTCCATCCCCGGAGTCTGCGGAACAGGGGCAATTTCGAACCACTGGATCAATGCAAATTGCATTCCGATGTGCAATTACCGTTCAGATCGTGATACCAGATGGGAACGAGGTGACGAAACGCCGATTGCAGTGCCTAACGTTTCCACACTGAATATCTAATTTCAGGTCCCGTTATGGCGAGCCAAGTCACGAAAATCCACCATGAAGTAGTCAGTGGTAACGGTACGGAAAAGGTCAGACAAGAGTACAGTGGGTACATGGGAAATGAATGGAAAGAAACGCCCGAGTTCCGATTTTTCCCGGCGAAACGTGTGGGGCGAAATTAAATAAGTAATTGCCACAATGATTTTTAAGGATCCTACTCTGACAATAATCGGACAAATTATGAATTATCAGGGGGGAAATAATTACCGTCGTGAGTGAGCTCATGCCATGAGCATAAGTGCATTCAACCGATTATTCCACGTCGAAATGAACCATTACTCATTTTTTATGACACCGTTGTGCAAAGTAACGAAATGACGAGTCCTGTAGATCACTGGAGAACGTCTCATTGTGAGGATAATGGGACTTGGGGTGGAATTAGAAGAGGTATCAGCTTGGTCAGTACTCACCTTCATGGCTGATGAAGAGGATCCTGAGGAGATCCCGACCTCGTCCTTTTTCCTGGGACTCTTGGGACCAAACTTGTCCTGGACGTGTCCGGAAGTCGCGCGAGCGTTTCGACTCGCGTCCGTCTAGTCCGGAGAGATTGGCCGGCGAGGAAGCGAGTGAGTGTTCTGCTCGCAATTAGGTCATTGTCCTTCATTTATACTCCACCGGCGGACGTATCTTTCAAGAGCCAGTCGAGCTCCTACCTCGCGATTGGGGACTACTGGTCGTTTCAAGAAAAGAGACCGAAGTTCCTGCTGCAGAACATGGACCCATCAAAGAGGACCTCTTCCTCTCAAATGAGAAAAACCAAAAAAAGAACCTCAACTTGCCCGGCAAAACGCCGACAACATGACTTCCCTTAAAATCCACCAAAAGCCAACTCACTATCAAAGGACTGAAATTTTGGCCACCACATTCATCAAACAAGTTCGTAACACGAAGTTCATAAAAATCGGTTTGCAAGGTGGTATTCTTTAATTTCCTTAAGTAATATCCTGAATATTTTTAGATATTTTCCTTTCATGACTTAGTCTTCATTTTTTAGGTGCATCGGAAAATTGTATATGAGATCGTCGATGGGGATGCGTCATGGAATTATTTATGCGTGTTGCTCAAAAGCGGACGATGAACTTGGTCGGGACAAGGTTCGGAACCCGTTCTTCGACGGCAGTCAGAGGAGAACGTACAGGTACCTTTTGAGAACCGAGTGACCTCCTTTCGGGGATTCGAAGATCTTTCATGGGACCATCTCGAAGAATCAGGACCGATCGACGATTCGGCCTCGAGGAGGTGGAACCTCTTCGTCGTTGTCTAAAAGACATGGAATTCTCTGGAGTCGAACTTCAGTCATGGTCTTCTGGGCTCCAGGGGTTCGGCGGAATATTTGAAGACCGGTCGTCGGATTTTCTCTCCATATTCTTGCATCGCAGACCGTTCATACACGCACCTGCGTACGCACTTACTCATCATGTGCCAAAGTCTCTTCTGTATGCGTGATCCAGTGACCCAATATATGAACACATGAGCAGAGAGCAGGAATTAGTCTGCGCACCATTTTCCCGGATTTCTCGATATCTCTTAATTTATTAATTAATTTTAATTTTGAGGAAATCGGGAATTTCCCAAAATTACCGCCACTGAAGATTCCTACGTTAACTCTCTTGCTCTTTCTTTTCCTGGCATTGATGTCTCCGAACTGAAGGCTCTGGGATGAATTCATTTAAAAGAGGATCACTCCGCTCCGTGAGTTCGAGAAATTAATTAATTGGAGATAACAGGGATAAATAAGAAGTTATTGATTCGGAATGTTAGATTTAGAATCGTAGTATTTGAAGCAGGATGCGCAAATTCTGGAGAAGAAATCGGTGATTCTTTTTTGCATGAATTTCACTGGGGCACTTCGTTCGAATCTGGGGAGACGCCTGAAATGGTAATTAGATAAGAAGTGCGGCATTAATTTTCTGTAAAATCCCAGCTACGGGGGGTGACACTTTCTCATGTATATGATGAAGCGATTTGCGCAGAGTTTAGGAAAGAATCTTTCATTTTTACAGCGCGATGATGTTTTACCTACTCACGCCGCATTCTTTGGCGTCCATCGTGTATCGAACTCTGGCGAGGAGCCCTCGCACTTTGTAGAAAGTCCAACTCCGTTCCTGGCAACCGGTTAAAGTGGCACAGAAAAACACCAATGGCAAGCAGGAGAACCGATTACAACGATTTCTCGGAATGACAGCCCGCGGAAGGGTATCCGAATGAGCGCCGGGCGATTAAAAACGATAAATCAACTTTATCACAACGCAGAAGAGGTACAACGATTAATCTTAACACCCGGCATTCGCGGCTCAGAATCCCGAACACACACGTCTTAGGAGTCCTTAATTCGAGCACTGATAACCAGCCTTCCTTATCACTCGACGCTCCTGTGAAACCAATTGCTCGAAATTTACAAATAAATACAAAAACTGTAACACGCCGAGGCCCGAGATGCGCGACGAGGGTTCCCAGATAATACCCTTTACCCCTTAGGTGAAGAGCATGGATAATCTGGGTGATAACAAGTGATAATGCTAGGTTAATGCTATTCCAATAACTGAACCGCCAAATGCAACAAAGTATCGATTCAACATTGATATGTCAATTATGCAGGATACTATCTCTATGCATTGGACGGCTCAGATTCGATATCAGTTCTATGAGATGCCGATCTATTGTTATTTGGCTGCATCGTTCACTGAATTCATTTTGTTTGAAAATTAAACGGCAGAGCCGATAACGCGTTTGGAATAGCACTTGGGGAAAGCGATCCGTGTAAAACTTTCCGTTTTACAATTACTCGGCAGGGCAACTTCTGGTCATCGCCGACCAATGGGAATGCAGAGACTCTTCTGACATTCGAGTCTCTCTTCTTGATAAGATATCTTGGCTCCCTTCGGGTCGGCTTTTCACTCATTGGAAGACACGTCGATTCTCTTGTTTCCCCTGAGAGTCCGACCTCTTGTACATATAAGGGTAGTACGTAAACGAGAAGACCACTGCAACAGAAAATGTAATATCGTTACCGATACCAGGTAATCATCGTTTATATTGATTATGTTATTAAATTGTATTTGGTGGCGTTCATGAAATCCCAAAACGCGAGTTGTTTCCCTCGAGTCGCGGAAATCCGGAAACTCGGTTTCACGTGGAAGCTTCCTGCGATTTTTCCTCCTTTTCGGGGAGATGGGGCTCTCTGGGGTACTGCACAGGGGAGAAAGGAAATTGAGAAACCCTGGTAAATATCAGGATCATCGCGAATTGTGGCGCAGCTCGCTGCCGAGCTGGTAAGACCTTTCTATAAGACTGCAGCTGGCACCCGAGGAAGTTTGCGGATCTGACGGGCAAGGCATTTAATACATATTGCGATCCCAGAGTAGAACACGGACTTTCCTCGGAAGGAAACGACGAAGAGTCGAGGGAAGTCTTAAAGTCTCTCTCACTTTCGCTGCGAGCCCCTCGGGTCCGCATAAGCCGGACTTATTGGCCAGAAATAAAAATAAAATCGAAAGTGGCCTCGCCCGAGGTCGACCGATTTCGCAATTTCGCTCCTCAACTCTTCCGCAAAACCCTGATAAATCAACGACTTCGAAAGGGCCCTCCAAGAAGTGACTACCCTAAGAATGAAATTTCAAAGATTCGTAATGAAATTATTCCTAGAGTTTCCTGACTTTTGCGCACAATCTCAGTAATTTACCTTCTCTCCACAGTCTCACAACCTATATCCTTTGGAGCTTGGAGTCCTTAAGTGAGAACCTAATGGCAGGTTGAAATTCGAAGTTGCTGGCAAGGGAGCCACTCTTCCTGTTGAGTGCCCCATACGCCCCGAAGGAGGGGAATTGGTGGAGGTTAAAGTTCTGAGGGTAGAAGGCCGGAATTTGGTTCAGCAGAGGAATCTTGAGCGGCACCAGCGAGGCTGCTCCGAAATTCACGTCGGAGTGCACTGGGAGATTGTTGAAGCTGACGGAGGTCTGGACCTTGGGAAGCTGAAGAGGGGACAGGTGATTCTTCAGGGGGTTCAGAAGTGGGATCTTCAGGGGGTCCACGTGGCCAGTCTCGATGGAGACCGTCGTGAATGGTCGAGGTTTGGGGATGAGGATGGGCTGCTGGGCGTCGTTGAAGGGCGGGGGGTGGTGGTCGAAGGATCCCGAAGAAGGCGACAAGTGCGGCTGCAACTTCGGGAACTCCTGGTAGGGGACTCCTTGGTCGTCGTTGAAGTTGTGCAGGTGGTCCTGGGGGTCGCAATTAGGGGGTGGATGGTTTGCTGGGTGGTAGGAGGTTGGTTGTCCTGGGGGATGGCAGCTGGCCCCATGGTCGGGGAAGTTGGGGCCCGAAGGTGGAGGGTCGTAGCTCGACGGGGGTGCTCCCTTGTGTGGGTATTCATGGGGTTCCTCGGCATGTCCCGCGTTTTTTGGTGGCTCGTCAAAGTGGTCCTGGTGGTCCGGGTGTCGAGGGTCCAACTCTCCGTGGTCTTCGTGGTCGGGTTTCGGTTTCAGAAAGTGCAACTCGCCTCCCGCACCGTCTGTAAACGTCGTCCGTCGTGTCACTGTGGCTTATCGAAGTTATCTCTTTTCCAACTTACAAATCCTCAACCGTTAATTCGGTTTTCTAGGCATGTGTATGGGAAACTCGCCAAATGCACCCTGGTCCCCTAAATCGCACCCCGTGTATGACTTCGAGGTCGTTTAACATTCGTACCAACATCCAGCACTGGATGCCACAAGTGTTAGATAATTATACAAATATACACGGGGCGTATAGTTTTATATTTATGAAATATACACAATTTAGGCGACTAGTATGCAACTTTCCCTTACATATGCACGGGAGTCTTTTTAGGCATAAAGCCACAGTTAGTCATCGGAAAAGCGTTAGTCGGCAACACACTATTGTAAGTCAAGGCGTCGGTAAGGTCTATATGCGTTCCGAGATCAGACCCCGTCACCCGAAATTCGCGAAACTCACGTAACTCAAAACTTTCGGCACTTTCGAACCTTTCATCCGACGTCGAACCCGGAAACGAGATCTCTTCTTTACGATCGCTAAATGATTACCTCGGCCCGAGGTTAACGCGACACGAGGGCCTCGAATTTCTCGACCGAGAGCGAAAAAAGTCAAGAGTGAAAGTGGAGTGCCGTATTCGCTGAAATTCGAGTTTATGGAGGAATTACATCCTACATTAATACGGAAAAGTCAGGGGACCTATAGAATTCCTACGGGATACCTACAGGAAGGGAATATTAATTAATATCAAATTATAGGAGGTCACGTTGAAGAAGCGACAGAGAGACATTCGCAGCCAGGAATTCCAATGTACTTTGACATGTCAATTCTACACCTACCATCTGACGGTGCTGCATATGGTCCATGAGAGGAATATCCTCCGGTAGGTCCCAAGGGTGGATATCCAGGAGGTTGTCCCTCGTATGAGACGTCGTGCTCTATGAACAATTTTTTAAATTTCATGTAAATTTAATATCTGTAATTCCTGAAAAATTCGTTGTATCGCGTGCATCAAAATATGCTTGTGTGATTTTAGTGTTAAAAAAATTTAATTTATATTTTAGACCATTTGGGCAATTACCATGCGACTCTATAGGAGGGGACTCCCACCCTCCGGATGTGTAGGTGGGTTTTGGGGCATTTACGACGGCACTGCTGGCAATAGCTCGCCCTAAGGACGAGATTGCATCTCCCGTGGTGCTAATGAGCCTGCCCTTCGAGGACACAAGGAAACCTCCACCTTTGATGATTTGTCCCTTCAAGGCTAATACTCCTCCGCTGATCGCCTTCAACGCCTGCAGGACGGTGTTCAGGATGGCCTTTTTAAAGTCCCAGATGTCAAAGGACTTGTCGTCGTACTGTGGACAGAAGGTAGAGTTACCCCTTTTGCTCTTTTTACATTTTTCTACGGAAGGCACATCCGAGTAAGTATGCAAATGCATTGATATATACGTGTGCACGCTAATTATGCGGTTTAGTTTCATGGCGCTTGGACAGTTCCCATTTTAACGATTCGTTCCGGAAAAAAAACAGGAGCAGAGCGAGGCCACGGCGATCCTGGAATCCTTCGAGGGACATTCCACGAGCACGTGAAGGTTACTTCGAGGTACCTTCTAGAGGGCTTCCAGAAGATCGTTTAGAGGATCGCTGAACGCCGAGCTGGCACCGAGACTTGCAAGAGGAGAAAAACCCGTTCAGATTTCCCTCCTTTATCGTTCCTCGTGAAACGACCCAGATCGCATCTCGTAGTCGTTACGCAAACCCACTTTAGGATCCATCGCCCTTACGACATCTTGTCGAAGGGCGTTAACGACCTCGAGGCAAATCAACGAATTCGTTCAATCCTCGCATTCAAATGGAATTACTTACACTCGGAATCCGTGGCATAACCTGTTCCGATATTCCCCTAATTTGCGAAAAATTTACGAAAACCCCAATTCCGACGCTCTATTTTATCATCCGATTATCAGCTCTTAACTGATAATTGCACATCCATGGAATGATCGGTCGGTTCTGACAAAATGGAAACTAGTTCACTCGTTCGGATTAAACGACTCGCATAAACCGATAATTCTCCAGTTAACTCGAGTGATGTTTCATAAACGCCCGTTTGCTTATGTTCTCTGGTATTATGGGGTATAACTTTTTACGTCTTCCTTGCATAAGCGTTACTTAAAGCACGCTATTGATCCGCTTTGCTAAATATATCCTCAAGGTGTGTTTATGGAACGAATGGCCAGGTTTCCTAATGTAAGTAATCCCTGTTGCCTGGATCGACGCATTGAACCGATCGATCGATTGAATCCAGAGCCATGAAGAGTGATCGCTAGAGGCTCTTCTGTACCTACGCTTTGGAACTTAATTTTTTTTATTAATCTTCCGATTTTATAAATATCACTCACGGAGTGCACGGGATGTTCGTACTCGACGGAGTGGTAGGAGTTGCTCTTCTGGCCGGAAGAACTACTCGAAGAACTGCTTGACGAACTCGATGCACTGCTCAATCCACCTGCTGATGAACCGATGACTCTTCCGATGATTCCGCTTACTATCCCCGATACGAAATTCCCACTTCCAGCTCTTTTTATTCTATCTTCCATGAAAGTGTCTGGCTCGAGCTCGTACAGAGACTCGAGTCCTTTTTGCACCTCGTGGCTCCTCTTCAAGGTCCCTGGGTCTATTCTCGAATTTGCCGAATTGGCTGCTGCTAGATTTTCGGCCTCGTCCATTCTTCTATATGTGTCGAGCCTTTCCAATTGATTCGCTGCTTGTTCCAGCCATTCTTCGCTTCTCTTCAGGGTCGAGGAATCCGGAATCGTGGCCGATCGCACGGTCGCGTAACTCGCGATAACTAGGAATATCGCCGGCTGTAAAAAAATAACACCAAGATCAGCATGTGATATCGATATTAATATTGAAATTATTATTTCATGCCAATTTTGGGGCTCAATATAAATTCTGGTAAGGCGAAATCGTTCCCATACGAACGACAGGAAGTGCTCTGCCTTTCGTGAGTCATCCTAAAGAAAGTCGTTTCTTTTTTGATTTACGAAATACCTAAGCATGCATACAAAACTATTAGACTTTCTCCTTAGACGCGGTTGCGAGATACGTTATCCTCCGTTTTTTCAGAATTTTTTCTTTTTTTTCCAAGCCTCGAATTTTGAAATGCATTTTTAATCGGGAACACTGTTACATGATCCCCAATTTTTCGTACTGATTGTTTCGTGTAAATATTGAATGTACTGAGAAAATCATTTCATTTTTGCCTCCATTTGAGGGACTTGTTTTTTCGAGTAATTCGAGTAATTGGAGGAGCATCGAATTCACGGTGGCCATGTTTTTCAATTTTATTTATCGTCGTTTTATTATATGAATTCGTGTATAATCTACCTAAGTACTCAATTACGTCAGGTAACTCTCACTGCAGAGAGTGTGTGAACACTCGGACGAAAGTTTCGTTGACTTTCACTGAAAATGAACTCGATGCCAAGGGCCGACCTTTGCCGAGGAGAGCGAGAGGCCACGATTTTCCATCAAGATGGTTTGCACGTCCATCCTTGTCCCAGTGTCCCAATACTCGCGCAATGCAGCACCCATATTAAAGGCGACCACAAACAATTACAACCTCTATGCCAGAATTTGGAAGACAGTTACTAATGTTCCAGGATATTGCTCAATCAGTCCTTGACTGCAAGTGCAAGTTAAATAATAATGGCCCAAGCTCAATGACGTCAGTATAAATTGCGATATCGAGTGCAATTGCTTCACAAGTGCGAGATTGTCGTGAGAAATTAGAATCTAGCTTCTCACAAAATTTTCATAATTTTCCTAGACTGTAGTGCAAGCTAATTTTCTTTAATGGCCTATGACCAGTGATATCAGTATAAATTACGATATCGAGTGTAATTGCTTCACCAGGGCGAAATTGTCGCGAGAAATTAAAATCCAGGCTCCAAAAAATTCCTTTAGCTTTTCTGGACTTTTATCAGTTTTTCCTACATTTTTCTTGGATTTCTTTCATCGATACTTGGAAAATTATGTGCTCCAAAACTGTCCTCTTTCAGCTTTTGTTTTGAGATCCCTTTAGATTGGTTGCATTGGGAATATGAAAATATGAGGAAAAAGGAGACCAGTTTCTTCAAAATCCGGAATTCCTGGCGAACGTCCCGGGGCGGAAATTCGTGTTAAGAAAGACTTCCGCAAACTTTGGAGACGCTCGAACGCAGCTTCGAGTAAGTAGAGCGACTCCGGTGAAAGTCCGCCTTGGGATGGGCAGCCGTATGCGCATGCACCCATTTGTTATCACGACAAAACTGTTATCAAAGTTGCTCGCACGGCTTCACATGCCGTCGAAGAGACGAAAATGGAGGATGAAGCGGAATCGAGGATGGGAAACCTTCGGATCGCCTTCCATGTCTAATAGGGAGGCAAAGAGATAAACAACGATCGCAGATCCTCAGGAATAAAAGTAGCAGCATTGAGAAAAAAGTATTTAAACTTCATCGCTTTGCATGATTTTCCTTGATTTGCGGAAAAGCGGCCTTTCCGCCCGGGCGAAAGTGGTCTAATCGAGTGCGGCCTTGATCTTGCGCGGTCTTGCTCGACCCAGAACGAGAAACTCGGTAGAGTTTCGCGCCAAGTACATTTAGTGGCGGTTCTTGAAGAGGAGTTTCACGAATTAAAATTCTAGAATTAATTTCACAGTCCTCGTCCATGCGCTTACTCTTGATATACAATCAGAGTGTTATCATTTATATTTATTACACGGAAAGGATAGCAATAAGAAGAGCTCATCCTCTGCAGAGTTACTTTTATACGTGGCAGGGAATTACGGATTACACAGACTTCTTCTATATAGACAGAGGATCCATAGAGACCTCATAGGTTCCGCTTTTACCGCGTCGTCAGTAATTTCCTTTTCTATTCTCTCCTGTACCTTTTTTCTTGCCGAGGGCACGCTATCACGTGTACTCGTGACTTCTTTGCTCTCGGCACTCGTTTTGCCTCGGATCGTACTTTTTTTGTCCTCCTCGCCGTTCCTTTCTTCCCGCCGCGAGAAACGCAAGAAGAAAGGCAGACGCGGGCGTGTAACTTTCACGTGCGTATCATCCGCGACGCGTTTACTCTCGTCGCCGAGAAATCGACGGACGAACCGATAACTGGTCTTGTTAGGATCACCTCGAGAACTTCGAAACCAGATCTCCTCTATATAGAACCTCATCATCCCCAATAATTTCACATTAATGCGTCAAATCACATCAGTACAGATTCGACATCCAACTTTCTCCAGCTGAGTCTAGACTCGGAAATGGAAATTAATTATCCATCACATATAGATCGAGAAATTAAAAAATACCGAAGGCTCCACACAAACCCGTACGACCATTGTTCTCTTCTATTAACACTTTTCTCAATGAATTCACCTAAAACCAGCCGAGGAATTAAACCATCATAAATCTGCCGAAAAATTTCCCGAGCAAGAAAGAGGACCTACACTTCACGCTTTGTTAACAAACTTCGGTGAACTTCGATATCGCAAGAAATCCCCCCAGGGAAATCAATGGATAGGCCAACTTCGGGATGGGAAGTCCCTTTTAAAAATCCCGCACCCCTACCAAACGTTCACCGAGTCAGGAAAAATTTCAGATTAATTTCCCGCGAAATGAATCGATATAGCGATATAGCGATGGATTTTTTTCCCGGGTTCTGGATCCATGGGGTGAAAATTTAGTAGGAGGTTTTCTTTTGGAAAACGGTCTGGAATGGAGTTTTCACTGGGGGTCTCCACCTCCGCGGAACCGGATATCCTCTCGAGGGTTTTTCCGGCCGTTCTCGGTCTCGGTCTCTGCCAAGTCGTTCACCGGTCTCGTGAGTATGTACCTTCATGGCAGATTTCGCGGCGAATCGGCAGAAGCACACGGCACTCTCACTGAACTCACTGACCGGCGCCTTCACCCATTACCTGGCTTTATACCGACTCCCACCCTGAGCTCGCACACCCTCTTCGAGGTTGCCCTTCATCGGCGGCAACCTCATCTTCATGGTCTCCCAAACGACAGAACAGTCTCATAAGGTGATATGACAGTGTGATATATACATACTAAAGAGTCAACATATTTATAAAACATTTCTCCAAACTAGCACCGAATTGTCTGAGACTTGAACACGTGATTATGGAGGCTCTAAGGAAGAACTTGCCGTTCGTGAAATTTCATTTTTTCGGAAATAATTTTGCATTATCTCGGACAAGAATGAAGAAAAAGATATTTTTTGTTCGAAAAATAAAATTTCACGGGCAGCGCGTTCCTCCTCAGAGCCTCCATAATCACGTATTAAAGTTTCAGATTATTCGGTGCACTCAGTTTGGAGAAAAGTTTTATATATATTTTCACTTTTTGGTACGTATATGTCACACTTTCATATCACCTTAAGTTATAAATGCATCTTTCATAGAAAATTTTTCTTACGAATAAATTGCAATACATTTCCCAGGCACAGTTTTGTACACGCTGATATTACAACTCTACCCAAGATTATTAAATATTTTTTAATATTCCAGGTGAACGACTTCACCGCTCTAAGTCAGTCTCTTAGAATCTCGGCGCTAAGAAAAACCTCGAAGAAGTCGAGCCTCGCGTTTCGAGAATTCCCGCAGTCAGTGAAAGTGAGCCGAGGAGTGACTTTTTCCTGAATTAAAATCCGATTGGCGAATCTTTACGACCCCGTCCAGGATGTGTCGGGATATCCTCCGGATGGGAATTGAAAAATATTTTAATTACGAACTTTGTCGTTTCCTCGGATTTCGAACATCTGATTAGCCGATCGGTATTTCGTCGATCTCGGTGAAAGGATTTCTTTGAAGATCCTCGATTCTATTTCTGCACTTAAGGCAGAAAGTCGAAAGTTTGGGATTGTGACCGAGTTATCGATGATCGACGTATCTCTTCTATACCGACCCGATTGTTCGGGTTTATTGTAAATTCGCGACAAGAGACACTAATGAAAGTCAGCTCGGTGAAATTCCAGACTCCTCCCGTGAATAATGAATCATTCACGCCATTCATTTCACAATGAACGAATCGTCCATATTCATCTTTTTCCTCAGGACACACCACTTTCGATTTCCTTTGTATACCGATCGTTTCCGTTGTTCACGGTAGCGATAGGAAAACAAAAGTCTTCTTCAGTGACTTTTTAACGCTGCAAAACATCGCTCTTGTGGATAGGCAATGCACCTATTGTCAATAATCGGGATCGCGAGTGCGGTAAGAAGATCATTTCCCCAAAAACCGATTCACATTGAATCGTGCTCTTGCAGATTCCTCTTGTCAGCTGGTCTTGACAAAGTCTTCGATCCGCGAAGTCTTAACCATGTAATTATCGTGGTTTCCTTTCTTTGTAATTGCTCTGCAGGCTTGGGTTAAGGTCTGTCGACAAGAACACTCCAGGGACGAACTCAGGAACGAGATCTGAAGATTTCTCCGGGTTGGCGGGTGCTCTGCAAAGGGAATTATTAAAGTATATATCTAAATATTAATACAAATCCAGAAAAAAAAAGAAACATGATAAGGCGAAGTGCAAAAGCTTCTAAAAGAGAGTGGGTCGAAAATGCGCATTCATTGACTTGACACAAGGATTCTTAAAATAAAAACAGGTGGTTTCGGCTTAAAAAAAATTATTGACGTTACGAGAGATTTTTTTATAGCCCTTGGAGAAATCTTAGAAATTCTCGAAATGGTCGGCACGAAATGCTCATATTTCGTGTACACCTTGACAATGAGAGGACAGCTGTCTTGTCAACGTACGTGCACTTTTTGCCGGAACTGCTGGAACAGGAAGGAATACGACTTGTTCTCCATGAAATGAAATACTTAAATCTACATACGCTACATACGCGAGTACGGAAAGAAATGAATGCCAATGTACATCCTACAGGCTAAATTACAACTTGGAACGTTGCGTAAATCGCTTAAAAACGAGCCGAATAGAAAGTCGCTTCACTATTTCCATCTCTATTAGAGTTTCCTTTATAATATATACATATATTTGCGCATTCATACGTAATTCTAGATGATAAGAGACTGGCATGTAGGATGTCAAGGGAGATGTACTTGTCTCGCTGGAAAACATGTACCGATATCGCGATGCATGCAAATAATTACAGCAATGGACACGGAATGATTACAGAGATTTTGCAACCTGTTACAGTTTTTCTGCCCCACCAAGAATAAAGTACGCGCACTGCCGATCATATTCTAATTCCTGGCATCGTAATGATTAATACGTTATCGTCTGATTTTTGCTCTATCCTGGATGATCAATTTATTTGCTTGAAAATACCGGAGATAATAATGAAACAATTACGCCGGAGTACTTTGCTTTCATCGTAATGGGCTCGTTGTAATTAATTAATATGTCGATTACCAACACCGGACGTGCCAGGTCATTTCGGTGGACAAATGTTAATAACAATGAGCCGTAGCAGAATTGTTTACCGTCGGTACAGCTGTCGAAGCATATCGATCACTTTCTGTACATTTCTGAATAAACGCCACTTTCACGGTCAACCGAGGGGTTCACTTGGAATATAAATTTTACGATCGGGTTGACTATAGTACTCTATAATGAGCACCTTTCAGGAGTTCCAGGAAGGAAACAATTCGACAATCATTGCACCTGTGACCTGCAAATCGCCAATGCCCCAAAGATATTTCTTAATGACATTAAGTTTACGACCCTTTAATCCCTTAACTGCGCATGGTCTCTTCCCTTCCGGTAAGGGTTGAAAAAGGCAAATTTAATCCCTTGCCCTGTCGAACCCGCCATCGCCAGTGATAATAAACCTTGCTTCGATAATATTCACGATTATTTATAAACTTACAACTTTTAGCGAATAAATATTAATTAAACATATCTTTTACAAGTCTTTGAGCATCGTCGAAGTGGCAGGAAACCTTCACTTTCAACATCGTCGGTAGCTAGCGCTCCTCTTCTGTGAAAGTCGACACTAACGAATCTTTTTATGGATCACGTCGGCAAGGTAGATCAGCAGGATAAAAAAAGAAAATCTGAACGACCCAGAAAATAATAATAATAAAAAGAAATAAAAATAGGCTTCCTCTCGCGAAAATATAAACCTTTTATATCATCCCTCGGGGAGATAAAAATTTTTCCCGCACCCTGCATTTTCCTACGTAAGCTTAGGAAGGTACGTCCTGTTCTTCAGGATTTAAGTCATGTTGAAGGCGTCGAGGAAATTGAAACATGTCAGCGGCAACAGGTGAAAAATGCGAGGCTAGGTAAAAAGAATGACCGCTCGCCTTTCCCGTTGAGCACTTTATTTACCACGGTACCTCCGCCATGAAACGATCATTACCGCGAAATCCTTTCATTCGCCCGGAAAGTACACATTTATACACTTAAGTACATTCATCGACGTCGGAATATTTAGAAAAATTCACACTTGACGTCGTTAATTCGTTCCACTTCAGGGTACGCGACATCATACACCATCATCGCCATGAAACAATCATTACCGCAAAATCATATAATTCGCCCTGAAAGTACACATACATGCACTTAGGATATGTTCATCGACGATTATTCATAAAAATCGACACTTGACGTCGCGTTAATTAATTCCACTTCAGGGTATGCGACATCATCTCGCACCGTTGAGTGTCCCAACGTTGAAAATCCCAGGGGGAAGTCTTGTCATCACTCACGGGGAAATAATCGGACTAGCCCGATAGCAATTGAGATAGGACTACCGCGGGAAGTCCTGATATCGTCACGCAATCATGATCCGCTGGAGGGAATTCCAACCTGTGTGCAGAAATGGGCATAGTCAGGGAAAAAGCGTTTGCAAATTGAACGCCGACGTTTCCGAGGAAACGTCCTTCGCTAGTTGGAGCAACTCATGATCCCCGTTTACGTCATTAACCAGAGATGAATGAACGAGTCTGCGATGGCCGAAGATTGGCACACGTCTGCGAACACGGAGACTGACGTAACTTCCATCTAATGGTCGATCTATACGTGACAGGAGTAGAAAAGTGGTTACCAAGAGAGTATTGGCTCCTTCCCTGGTACCAATTTGCCATGTGTTTACCTCTCTACCTGTGCATTCGAGGAACCTTTCTTGTCCTTACGAAGAAAACTACTTAGTCCACCTTCCACCGTGGTATAGCGAGCGCCGACCGCTCTGTCCCAGATTCCTCAAAATATATAATCCAGTTCACCCTACATAAGAAGCAAATAAATACTAACCTATATACATTGGAATTACTAAATCACCTCATTTCCAAGAAATGTCCTCTTACAGATTCCACCGATATCCTCGGAACATATGTTTAACATCTTGTCAAAATTCGCCATGACCACCCGAGCCCATCGACCCAGGGAACATCACCTACAATAGATAATTTAAAATTAATCCCTCGTAATTATTCCGATTACCCCAGAGACACGTGGAGGTAACCCAGAAATAGATGAATTAAAAATCCTGCAAAATTAAATTTGCAATGAGTTATCAGCCCAGGAGGGGAGGTTCCCTTCCTGGAATGCCCTTTACCTCCCCATAACGTAGGTGCAATAAATCCCCTCTCCAGGTCTGGTCACGTGACGGCACCTGCGCGTGCGCAGAAGCGTCGAAGTCTATCTCCCACCATTTCTTGCGCGCCCCACGCTTCGCCCTCCATTGTTCCTCGTAAAGGACCCTAATTCGAATGGCCCGCCTCGAAACGATCCTCGAGTCACTTCGGTTTGATCGTTTGAAGGTGCAACATCGTTGGGACATAACCTAGGGCGGATATTTCGAGTCGATATACGCTAATGAGTGTACTTCATACCTTTCAAGTGTTGATACGTCATAAATTCATACTTACCGATCTCGACTGTACAACCGTGTCGAGTTTCCCGGTTTTTACGCGCATGCGCGAGCGCTGTCGCGCGAGTTCGCTCGATATATCGAAAGGTCGATCGCCGGCGGCTCGGGAGCTCGCTCGCTCGTGATTGGCTGACGCCGCCGCGCGGCGACCTATCGAGTGCCCGCATCTCGCGGGCCGACATACGCGGTCGCGTGAAACGCCAACCGCGGAGGGAGAGAGACGGACGTACGGCGGTCGCGAAGGAGGGAGGGAGACAGAGAGTGGAGACCGCGCGTCGCGGCAGCTGTGCCACGCGCCGCGGCCAGTCGAGCGCCAAACCGCCGGCGAATAGCGCGACCAGCGTCACCGCGGCGAAGGGACAGTGCCGGCCGACGCAGGACGACAAGGACGACATGATAGAGTGACCCATCGAAAGTAAAGGCGGACAATTCAACGGACCGACGTCGTGAAAAAGTTTTCACGCCAGGACACAGAGGGCCGTCAACATGGCCGGGAGCCTCTGCCTCCTCGCGCTTCTTTCACTTGCGGTAGGGTGCCTCTTCGTGTTTATCCCGTTATCACCGACTTATAGAATTTTTATCTAGGGTCCAGGTTTCTCGACACCTGCCCCAGGTCTCCGTAAGACGATTGGTGGCCAGAGTGCAAGGCTGCATTTCTTGAAACCTGATTTAGATGCATACTCGATAATCCTGTAGATATGTGCGAGGAAAGATATTTGGTCGTACTCGTATCTCATTTTAATGACGAAAGGGAGGTGTGGGTATGGAATTCAATTTATTTACACCTGGTGTTAATGGGACTGCTAATTACCAGGCATAGATCGCCTTGGGAATGGTGTTTCATGGCTGGGAAATTAATACCTGGAAAGTTGATGTACACTCGAGGACGTGGATATGTTCTCGACTAGTGTCGGTGGGCTTAGCTGTAGAGGGCATTTATGTCCTCGACTGTACGTGTATGTAGGTACACTGCACAAGATTACTGAATCCTGCAATTGTTTCGCGAAAATCAGGGGGTGGGTCCGGCTCCTTTCCATTCTCTTGAATAATTCCTAAGGAGATTTCAATGCACCGAGGTGCACGTTTTCGGGAATTCGGTTTACAGGCATTTGGGCTACGCCTTTTTCTGCTCACCTGAGATTTAAGGCATCTTTTTTTTTCAAATGGTAATTAGGATGAATGGGTTTACGGTAGTCGGGGGGAAGGATCCCTCGGGTAATCATGTCGGCGGTGCGGCACTTGGTTAGCTCATTAACGCGTTTTACGAGCTCTCCTTAACGATGCCACTGTTCGGTACTTTTCGAAGAAATTCAGGTATTCCTGTAGTTATTTAATTAACACCTTTACGAGCGGTTTGGACCTGCGAATTTGGTATGCCGGTCTACCTCGCGCGACTTCCGGCAGGATTAGGCCGAAGGACTCCGGAATAATGACCATGCTTCTGTTCCGAAAATAGCTGAGCACTCTGACGTAAATTCAAATTTTTCAGCCGCCTCGAGGAGAGATCGTATGGTCCTGGGATATCATTTGGACAATGAGTTTCTAAAGACTGGCCGATGTGCCGTGGTTCACAAATTCTGAGCAAACCGCGCACAAACGAGAATCCTGTATTAATACTTCACTCCTGTTTCGGGTAGCAGGAAAAAAATTGCGAGAGTCCTTTATTTCAATTTCAAAGGAAATAATCAAGAGAACGGTACCGAGAAGAAAATGCGTCCCTTGATTTCTTATGTCAACGATAATAATTTTCACATTAATTATTAATCAGTTTCCTTAAATTCCATATTTACATAGTCTGAGAAAAATCTCTGCTTTATCGTTTCACTCAAGAATGTCCTGCAAAATTACAAGTACTCTTTACCCTAATTCTGGTATGAAAGTTTCATGTTAGAAAATAGATAAAATTAACGATAAGAATTATTCTTATAAGTGCCGTACTTATCGTGAGGTTCGGCAGTCTCTTGATAAGTCCATTGACCTCGACTGAGCGCTTCTCTTCCTACTCCTACTGAAGAGCATCTGATATTTTTTTTAATTTATGTTTATTCTCTGTATCAATGACTTTTACGAAAATAAGGAAAACCGTACTTCACGGCTGAGTTATTAACGTTATCAGGAGTCCCTGGCATTGGCTGTCGGCGGATGCAAAAATCGCGCCCGGAGGGCAAGGGTTAAATGTAGCAATTATCTCGAAAAAGCGATTTGAAATATGCGAAATCAACATTCGCGAGTTGCAGTTTCTTTCGAGACCGTAAATACAGTTGGCACGGACATTATGTAACGCGACTCAGACATAATTCAGATCCTCTGCTCTTTTATTAGGCGAATCTCGCACTATCATTCGGACGATTCTACGGTAGAAATCTCACACGTGCCAATGATCGCGTGTGATGATTCGAGTCGGTCAATTTGTTAAATCTCCCGATTGCACAATCAGAAGAGAAGCCGTTATCGGCACCAAGAGGCCGCGATATCGCGGTATAAGAGAGGCTGAGGAAATCCCTTATCAGGGCAGAATAGTAGAGAAAATGTAAAATAATAATTAATATCATTATTCAAAAGAGGTATTCATTGCAAGTTCTGTGAAAAAAAAAACTCTCCCTTAATACCTCCACTTTCAATGAAAATATAAAACGCGGTTTATTATTAAATTGTGGAATTTTTAAGGTACAGATATATTTCTTTGTGCAGATGGAAACTTATAGGGAGTATATAGAAATTCAGCAGAGAGCGTGAGATGATTCGGCTGTAGGGTGCCAGTGATAAGAAAGTATGAAATCTGATATGGGGAGATTGATAAGAGCAATCACAAGGACCCAAAGGTCGCGGATGGATTCCTGCATCCTTCGGACAATCGATCCTTCATCTCGTTCTTCGAGGCTTTCACGAAAGACCTCGCGAGCGTTTTTCACCTCGATAAAAGCCGGCGAGCCTCGTAAATATGGAATCTGCCAGCAGTCGAGAGATCGACTGGTTATCCTTGTCCGCCATTGAGCCGATGATAACGAAACCTCCGTGGAAATCGAGCGACAAAGAAGACCGACCACCTCGCGCGGATCCTCTCCTCATTCAGATTGATTCCTGACGACGATCTATCAACGCCGAATCTAGATCGCCATTTTTCCTCGCGATAAAAAGGAATTACACAACGCCCAATAAGTGAACCGCCGGCGAAAGGTGTCGGGATAACGAGTTCCAAGGATTACTGATTCGTTGTTTTGTGTCACGTTATCACGCGTTATCACCGGGACCAAGTGTCACTCGTGTTGGAACTTTGCGATATCCGGCGCTCTTTGACCCGATGTCCACCTACAGAAGGAACCTGCCATGTTCAGATTGTGAGTTATCTTAAGACTCGCAGGTTTCCTCGAAAAAGACATTCTGAGGGTATTTTCAAATGAGAATAACGCGAGATAGAGAACCTCTCGGGGTCGAGCGCTTTAATCGTTTCGGTTATATCGTTATTTTTTTTTATCCCAGAAAGAAAAAAAAATTGTGGATCTTTAGATCATTTTGCAAATTTCAGTCAAGGGGCATGATAGTGATTCCGGGCTGTCGGGATATATAGTGCCGGGATCAATTACGCGGTTTTGTCGCGTTATTTTGTACTTGCACTGTATATCAGACCGCAGAGGGCTCGATCGTGCACCAGAATACTGCCGGAATATTTAGAGCATAGACTTGAGACCAGAAAGTGCATCTGTGCATTGAATACGATAGCACCCATTTTCCAGGCGTATCGGATTATTTTATATTTCGCATTTGTTCGAAACTCATCCTTGGTAATGATTATCTAGCGAACGCCTACTGTCATGGAGGGGCGTCGCGGTAATTAATAGGCGACAGCTGGAATCGATAAATATTAATTATTAACCCAGGTATTCACTGCGTTGTGCCGTGCATTCCGCGAGTTTAATAACTCCTGGAAGGTTGGTTTACAATACTTTGGCATAATATTCGGTAAAATGCAGGATAAAGTTCGCTAAAAAAAAAAAAATAAGAAAAAGAAATCGCGTCAGCTGAGAGGTGTCTGACCCATGATTTCCGTAACTACTGTCCGGACGTCTTCCTTCGGGTCTTTCTATTTTTTCTTATTTGTAAAATCAGCCGTAACAGGCAAGGGTTAAGTTGGACGATATTTCCGGACATTTATAGACTTTTTCTTTTTTTAAGGAAATTTTGGGACCGTCCCTTGTCACGAAAATTCCACAATTTCTTCTCGGTACGACTCTTAGCATCAGAGCGATTGCTACGAGGAAAATGTCGAGATACGAGCCGAGGCTAACGGTGCGTCGTCGGTCTCTCGCACTTTTCCGTCCACATACGGACACGCGACGACATTTACACTCGACCTGGACATACGTGTATAAAGCAACCTCGCGTACAGTATGGGTAGACATTGTATGCACTTCTCGGAAGCGGCCGTTTAAATCACCGCAATCAGCATAGATTCGCGCTGATATGGAAGACATGTATACAAGGAAGTGAAGGAAGCAGGGATTCCTCGATTACCGGAGAATTCATACTTTAAGAGGATGCAAGTCGATGTTAAGAGTGCCATTTGACATGCACCGAATGTATTAAATCAAAAGGATTACGGAGGAATTAATAGGAACCATTCTGTCTGACGGTGCATCCTTTCCGGTGTTTCTTTATCTGATAAGCGATGTTTATTTATCGGGCATCGGAAATGGCGGGAAATTGCGCGCCCCGGCTCGGTTGAATTTCCACGAGTTGTTAATTAGACCAGCCGTGAGATCCACGTTAATGACTTGGAAAGCTCTCCTTTCGACGGAGGATCGCCGGCGGCGCGTCGTTAATTTTCAACGGGGCGATCAAGCTCGCCAAAGCTTGCGACGTCTCGTGCTGCACATCTCGAACTTGCGGATCCGCATTAACTCTCGGAACTTGGAAAGTTTGACCGTAGGGCTCCTTGGAAGCTTTCCGAAGAGGCATCGCGTACTGCATCATTGGAGAAAATAGTAACTCGAGTAGTAGTCTAAGTTTCGATGAGAAACCGAGGCGGTGTATCATACATAGGTCAACAATTCGTAATTACAATTGTATTACCTGGGTAGTACTCGCGAATCACATTAGAAATAATATCAAATTTTAGTATCACTTTGTATTGAAAACAAAACAAATTTTGCAATGACTCACGAGTGCCGAATGGTACGTAACACCCTCCCAGAAGTTATTCACGTCTAAAGCGTGATAAGATTGTACCAGATGGCAATCGGAGTGATAAGAGGGAGTGCACGTTCCATTGTTCTGGCAATTACAAATTAACGCGGAAAAAAAAATACAATGTATTTTCTTGTGATAAGAAATTTATTTTACTGGTTTAAACGAATTTTATTCGTTCAATCTGACATTTCTGAACAAACCTGCGATGAAAGTACCTCGAGGTAAAGGGAAGTGCGAACTCGGTGGACGGAAGTGCGTAAGTACGTACATTGCGTACGTAATTCGAGACCTGCTGGGAGAAACGTTCTTCCTTATATGAATACCACCGAATTAAACGGAATCGATTTCGCCATTTGTCATCGCGATATCTTCAATTCGTACTCAGGGAACGAAAGGGTTCGATCAATTTCCTCGTGGGAAATTGCAAATATAGGTCATGCGTGTGTTTCACGGGAATTGTTTAAAGGTTTACGCGAGCGCGTTATTCGTCGAGTGAAGCTCGGTTTGACATCCTGCCTTAATCGAAGCAGAAGTAAAGTGAGCTTGCAATTGCCGTGCACACACGCTCTATGTACTCTCGGAAACGCTGTAAACCACAGTACGTATTACTTAGCCCCGAGTACAAATATTTACCGTACATTACCGAAGAACTGGAGCTATCCAAAGAATAACAAGATTCTAGACCAACAGAGTTATTAAAGACATTAATACGTATCATCAAATCCGATCACCTAAAAATCATCTGCTTATTAAAAAGCATATTTTCGATAACGTCCCAGTTTATGCGAGATTAAAGAAGTAAATAAAAAAAGAAATTACCGAGAGTACACAGCAGGTGCGATTTAATATCCATGAAATTTCACTCAGCAGGTGCAATTCATTGATTATCCTTGACGATGAATTCCAAAAGAGTCTATTTAAATTCCCCTTTGTAATTTTTCATATTTCGTTTCAGGTCGTCAAAGACACCGGAAGTTACCCTCAGAGCCGACTTCAAGACCCGAGTTTACTTCATCGATCCCCGACGACGGTTTCGAATCCTTTTCTAACGCCCCGGGGCGACCCTGAAGAGACCAGCTCCGATTTGGCATTTCCTCAGCAAGGAGTCAATCGAACGCTGATCGAAGTCACCAATGTACCGACGAGGTCGGTAATCGACGAGAAGAAGGGGTTCCAAGGGACGCGAAGTTTCCCTCAAAGGAGCGACCGCCTTGAGGAAGACGAAGTTTCCGAGCTTCTGTCCAGGGCCCTGGAAAATGGGGAGCTCTTCGGCCCTGAAGAGTGGGCTGACGTGGCCGGGAAAAGTCCGAATAAAGGGGTGCAAAGGGACACCTCCGCCTTCCAGGACACGCATAATGCAAAATCAACGTTGTCGGCACAGAGACCGAGCAGAGACGAGGAACATCATCAAGGACATCGCAGGCTCTTCCAACAGCGACAGGATTCCAGTGAGTCTCGAGTTGTTTTGGCCTCACCTTGAGACGCTTATCATTAAGATTTTGCTTTTATTCTTGCCATCAGGGTACTGAATTTCTTGTCTCTCATTTTTAGCCTCCTCCTACGATAGGATGCAATCCGATTCGGGACAGATAGTGTTTCCCACTGAGGAGAGCGAAGCTGCCAAATTCATTCCTGGACCGGCTCCGGTCTGTTCGGGCAGTACTTTTTGTGAAGAAGTGAGTTACTATCCACACGACTACGTGAAGACTGCGCTGAGGATACACGAAGACCTGAAATACCTCTCTCACGCGGACGCGGTGAGTCGTCAATTTTTAAACGTCAAACGTCCTGAAAAAGTGCCCTCAAAGTAAACAGTCAGGTCGGGAGAAATTTAATAGAGTGTTTGTCGATAAAATTCAATGGTAAAATATTTAAACATGGCGCTGATTTTATATTTTAGGTCGTTGACGTAGTACAGAGGATAGACAGCCACGACGAGTATCCGCTCTGCGACTCCACGGTACGTATGGGCGATTTATTTATTTTTTTTAATTAATTCCGGAAAGTCGCCTTGCTTTTAGCTCTTACATATTTCCTTTTTTAAAACATCTGTAATATGTTGGATTATTTTCTGAATTTATAGCAAATCGTGGTGTACCCCAAATCAGCGGAGAACAAAGACAAGGAGTGGCTCTTCATACTCAACCAGGACAACTTCACGCAGGGGGTGCAAATCGAACAATGCCTGTACGTCTCCGAAATCAGATTCGATCTTGAAGTACCACACCACCGATATGATTAGATTATTTAATTTAATATAATTTATATATTCTCATATTTTAGTGTGTTATGTTTATCTGTCTTAATCAGGAACCCAAACAAGGAGTGCAGGGGAACCTCGAGCCCCGTTGCATCTGGACACAAAATGACCTGCAAGCAGAAGTACATTTACCGACAAATGGCAGCGATCGCCAGCAACGGGTCGGTGGTAACGCAACAATTTCGTCTCCCATCGAGTTGTTGCTGCCACATTAAATTCACCGGAGATGCGATGACCAGGATTGGAGTTAACCTTCCAAAGGACCCACAGTCGGCGGTCCAGAAGAGGAAGAAATGAAGAAACGAACGGCTTCGCGTTTCGCCTCTTCCACTTCCGCCGTGAAATCTTCGAAAGGTGTGCAGACATGGAGGGAATCTGAACGATCATCCTTCGGCAGTGAAAGGTGTCCAAGAGGTTCGATCCGGCAGCATGGGAAGATCGATGGATCCGAATCGAAGGTCGGAAGTTTCTCTTCGAGGCCGGACATCGTCTACTAACTTTGGCGCCGAGATATCACAGGATACCTAGGAGATGCGTGTACATATACTAGTAGATTGCATCTCATGCGAGGACGTTTAAGGACTGTAGTCTTTTGTTAAATATATTCCACATATTATAAGTTATGTTAATATGTCTCTGTACATACGTACTAGGATTCGCCTGTAGGTTCGACACGCCACGTATGGGTGTGGTAAATCGGAAAATGCCTTGGAAGGATCGAGGGAAATTATCGAAAGAGGGTACCGATACATTTAGGAAATAGGGTTAAAGGAGAAAACCAAGGGAAATCAACGAAAGAGTCGCTGGCGCTTCTTTAAGGGGGTCTTCAACCACGAGTTCCTTTCCGGGGTACCAAAGGCAGGTGGATTACCTTAACTATTACATTTTATATTACCCCTTTTCATAGTTAACTCAAGGTAGATCGAGTTACCTCCCTCGATGCCGATCCCATCGCGTATAGTTTACCTTCCGCCAGGATTCCGCGTGGTACTTTGAATAATCGCATGCTTTCCCTGGACTAACGATTCGTCCTTAAAGTAAATACATCTCTGTCTAACGGAAAGGAGCTCAAATCCACCGACTAGACGCGAACATGTGATATTACGGTTTATACTGCTGATACGAGATTGCTATTAATTTTTACTATTGTTACCACTTTGTTATCGACCTGCTTGTACCTATGCTGGGCTTTTTGCAAATACATACGAGATCCAAAGTCACGGCGGTTAGCTCTTTATATTTAATTTCATAGATTGGAGTCACAAATGGGCGACTTCCGGGTGTCCATTACAAGTCGAACGAAGGGACGTGTAACGAATTCATATTCTTTGCATTTATTTCCGGCCGTAAAACGAGTCGAGCCGAGGAATGTCCTGCGGAACTTCTCCCTCGGTGGTTGAAATCCAAGCTCACGTTAATTAACTCGTCGATCGCAAATTACTGTGTGAAGTGTAAGGTGTCCATGTTACGAGGACATCAGGTAGGGTAGTTTGGAATAGTTGCTCGTTTGTTCTTTAACGCTCCTCGAATGTAACATGATCCATTCACGAGTATCGGGAAACCCGATTCGGGGCTCCCTCGTGTTATCAGTGACCCTCTTCAGGGTGCTCGACGACACCGGCGGAACTCATTCTGCGGGAAAGCTGTCCTGCCGTGGGCGGGAAAATATTTTTATTGGGACCGATCAATCAGGAACTCATCGGCTCGGGATAACTCTGCTAACTCGAACTTGAAGAGCGCCTCGAAGAAATCCGACTTGCCCTCCGTTATGTCACGAAGTCGCGTTATAGGGCGTATCTTCTATGGTGAAGTAATATATTCCATGGTCACTCCGGGACCACAAAATGCCATTGTTCATCAGGGCGAACAGGGCAAAACTGATGGAAATGGAATTCCGCGGTTCCCTGAGAATACGTTTAAGCCTGACGAATCGCTGGCTACCCGAAATTACATATTGAAACGAGCTAATCCTGGCAGGACGTATCCTTGAAAGGTGAATTTCCCGCCACGTTTCTGCTAATCAGGGACGGCTTGATTAATTCTACGGAGAACGAACCGCGGCTCAAACGAAAGCGAGAATAATTTTCCCTCTCGGTTGGACGGAGGAATTTCAGCCGCGCATGATATCCCCCCCGTCGAGCTGAATTTTCCTCGATTTGTTACACCCAATTCCTCTAAAAATACCCCAATGGGAATTATTATACGTCTACGATCCGTCTCTCGTCGGGGATTATTCTCAATGACTCTAATTTCCGCGGATTGGTTTTCGTCGATCGATTTCTTTTAAAAGACATCTCGTAGAATACGCCAATCCCAATTCGCCGAGAATTGCTTCCAATCGCTTCTAAATTAGAGTATCCCATAATTTTGGAGAAACGCCTCGATTTTGGCCATTTATCCACGTATTACCTGAAAACATCACGAATTCAGATAAATAGGGCCGATTTTGATATTTCATTTTGGACGCGAATTCCAGTATCTCCTGGATCGGGTTGTCGAAAAGTTAAAACCCCGATCGATAGGCCAGTCCATTAATTCAATCTTCACCTCGATTCCGGAGCAGATGATTCAATTAAAACTAATCCGGTGATCCCTTTCGAGTCGATTATTCGGTGAAAAATAATAGATCACCGCGCCCGAAGGGCTTAACCCTGATTGGTAATCGCCACAGTAATCGATTTCGAAAATAATTATTTCCGCCCAGCGCTGTTTGCTTATACAGTACGCGAGCTCGTTACGCAGCTCCGCGTAAATTGCTGCACTGAGGAAGGAGGCGAAATTTCCTTTCGACTCTCCTCAAGAAAATTACACTTTTAATTACATGTGCGCCCGACGAAGTTGCGACGTCTTTTCCCGACTTCGTTAGTCTTCGTTCGCGGATCTGGACGAGAAGAGTCCCCCGATAATAATTTCGGCGTTGATAAAAGATGCGTCGCCAAAAGAAATATATAAGGTCAATTTCAATGATTTTGGATACCGGATGGACATATCTGCAATTTCATGCTTGACGAAAAAATCTCGCAAATCTCATCCGCGTTTCTTATCACCCACCGGGCGAATCGGTCGCGCAACAATGGCGGGGAATTAATTCCCTCGAATTTCTGGGGAACCGGGGGACACTTTTAATTACGAGAAAAAGAGCCTGGTGGAATTGTACGACGACGATGCTTTAGACTTGCGGATGTGCAGAGGTTCAGGAAGAAGCGAAAGACGATTCCGAGGCATCAGGAGAGACGCTTCGCGTGTCTCGGTTTGTTGTCCCGGACAGATAGAGAAAGAGAGAGAGAAAGGTTTTCAAGGGAAATACTGTTTTTATATATGCGACATTATACATCGACGACCGTGCGAGGTGTACAGGGTGTCCAGTTTACGGAGTTTGTACTTGGAAAGTACATGGTATATACAGACTATCCCTAGGTAGTAAATAAACTTCACATGCACCTGTTTCCTCCTCCGATAATTCCCCTAATTACCTCGAGGGCTTTAATTTAATAATAAACCCCAGAGATATTTTTCATGATTTTCTAAGATACCTCAGGATTTCAACACTTCCATTATCTCGACATTTCCAACCTCGCCTTGTGTATTAATAATTTTATTAAAATTAATAAGTCGTACCGTGGGCATTCGTCTGTTATTTATCTACCTGCGTATTAAAATCGAGTTGGTACTGTTGTCCAGAAGGTAGCGTACAGATTTCAACATGTTTATCAGCAGGTGCCTCGCATTTTAAAATAGAATATTAGAAAAATTATACACCCTGTAGTAGTATCAGTGATAACGTGTTTATCCTCCTTGACTCTTCTCCGTCGGAATAAAGGCGACTCGGAAGAAGGTCCGATCGACTGGAAAGGTAGCTCTCCTCGTCCTTGCAAAGAAACACGAAGGGAGTAACAAAAGGACCAGGGTGATGGGAAATATTCCAAGAAAAAGTCTCCCCGGATACAGAAAGGATCCGTCCTCCTCGGATGCACCGTTTGCTTCCTGGTTTTATCTCTCGATTTTCCTTCCGGCCCGCCGATCTTTCCTGTCGCGATTGATAAGTAAACTAAATCCTCGGTTTTACCCGAAAACATGTCCTCTTTTTTACGTCTCACGTATTCTCAAATCTCGTATCTCGCTTTTCGCGCGGCATTTCAAGTCACGCGTGGAATTCATACACGGCCCTCTTCGTTTCGGCATTAACCAGTCCTCTTGTAAATGATAATGCGAATCTGGCGTGGCTGCTCCAAAATTGCCCAACTCGAATCATGCCACCCCACGGTTCACGCAAAATGGAGGGTTATCGATCGCACGGTCCATGGACGTGGAATTAGTCAAGAAACCAGGGAGAACAGTCGCATATTAACATTTGTGTACACGTTATCACCAGAGCCGACCGTTCCTGCTAAAAGCTCGCGTATCATCCCGAAATAATTTCCCCGGAATTAATCCCGGGGACTTTATAACCCGCGGCGAATGATTTTTGCAAATGCGTGGGAACAGCTTGGTAGCCTAATTTCTTCGGCTTTTTTTTTTCTTCTTCTTCCCCCCGGAAATGGCGGAGTTCCAGATTTCTCCGCGGACCTACACCGTCACGGAAAAGCTTCATTTACGGGTAGTTTGAGAGCACCGATCGATCGTGTAGAGTTCAAAGCGTGACCTTTTAATATCGCCGCTGCTCTCTTTACTTAATGCGACAGTTACCCTCGTGTCGGTACTTTTCAGGGCCCTTTGGGGGTAAAAAAGAGCAGAGGGTCCCTGGGCAAACCGAGGGCTGGTCCGTAATTAACCTCCTTACGGGGTAAGTAGCGACTAATAGGTAATTGTGGAGCAATACCTACACGGTAATTGTATATTAATGGGCTGCACTTTTATTATTCAAGGCCTGAATTTTCCGGGAATAATTCAACGATCGTATGCGACTGAAAATTCGGGTACTACCTGGCGTACGTGCAGCAGGTTAATCAATATTTTGTCTTTCTTTCGACAGCTTTCGCTGTCTAAGAAGCCGAGAAGAATTTCGGAGTACCTCTGGGATGAGCTTCCGCTTATGGCGGTCCAGATCATTTTTTTCTCAAACCGATTAATCTCGGACCTTCCTCTCTACTCTTCTCTCGACCAACATCCTCCATTGAGTCGATCGTCGCCAGCTCAAAGAGATCGGATCTTCGGGTTTGTCAAGTGGATACTGTGATAAGTGGTGGAACCCTTTCACTTGCCGAGATAAATCTCGAAATTCTGAAGAGAGATCCTGCATTGTACCCCAAGCTTGTCCTGTGGGCGTGCTTTTCATCCTTTCAGGTCCGCCGACCCTCGGGAGGAAATATGAAAATAATTATTATTCAACCCTCGAACAGAATTAAAGTACCCCTCTGTGCATCACCACAAATTTGACTATTCGAGCAATTTTTAGTCTTTCCGGGATGCGCAGCATGCCGGAGATCAATTCCTGCGCGACGTCGGAGTTCATTGCGACAATTGGGAAAGGAGCTTGTTTACTTTACGGAGTAAATACCGCCCAACTTCCCGAATCAAGTTTTTAGTACTCTTCTTGGCAGTTTCCGTCACGTGAGATGGCGAACAAGGCGAATCGAAGGCTTTTGCCAATGCAATTGTCGTACGTCGCCTCGCCTAACTTCGACTTTTTTCTTTTTAAATTACTACTCAATAAATTATTCTATTAATTAGTGCGCATAAGATACACCGAAAATGAGAAAGAAACTCTGGAAAGGGTTTACTGCTTCGATTTGAGAGCATTCGCGAATTCGGGAATTCCTTCCTCCTGTTTGCCTGGACTTGATCTCGGAATTGATCCTGGCAACGTTTCGACGAATCCACTCAAATATAAATTCTCCTTTCACCGTCTCGCGCCACTTCCGGTATCCGGCGAAATAGGATTTCGTCGCACTTCCCTGGAAATGTGACAAAACGATATATCATCCTCCCGCGTTAACCAACCCTAACGACATCGAGCCGAGGGGTTTGCTCTCGTTTCTGTTTCCTCGCCATCGCCGTAAATGTGGTCGGAAAGTGATGGTATTACATTATCATCCCTATGGGGAGCCAGGAAAAATGCATTTGCAAGAAGTCATGACATCTCAACACGCGATGACTCCTTGTACTCATCCTCATGCTCTGACCTCGGTGAATAAAAAATAGTTAGAGACATAAGACTTTGCAACCTGGTGGGTGATGTCAGGTCCCGAGTGCAATTCCGGACACGCGTCTCATAAAATTC